GACCAGAGGAATAAACACTAATGTGCACATCCACACCTATTGTCATTTAATGGTCAATAATGCGATGGATACACAGAGTTTATTCAATTTAAAATTGCATGTGTCGTTGAACTGTCCATGTGTACTCTGTTTAACCTCATAAGGCCATGATTATATTCACAGTTGCCATTGTCCTGCTTGAGATGAAAGCACACCAAAGCAAAATGGGGGGAAAATCCGTTAAATACTTTCTATGAAAAATCATTGATAGTCATTTCCACTTAAGCTTTGAGGGCAATATTAATGTCGGGTCATCTGACAAAAATATCCAGTTATAGAAAGCATATTACGTCATCAATGAGTCTATAACGACACAGTGGGGACTTTGAGAAAGCAATCCAGGGAGAGCTATGTTCATTTGATTTATTTTCTTAGGGAAAAACTTTATGGAGGAAAAGGAATAAGTTCTCATCAGTGTGTTGATAATCAAGGTCTCCTTAACCATGATGCATTTAGCAAGGACGTTCTATATCAACAATAATTGTGTTAGAGAAACCAAGATTACCATTAAAACCTAAGTTATGTACACACAAGTTCATCACTTTCCTTCTCACAAATGAGAATGAATATGAAATGGGCAAAATACGCACATAAAGTAATGCAGTAGGAGAATTGCCAGGTGATGATGGAGTTGCAACAACTCTCTAAAATTAAAAGATGTAAGAGAGAAAAAATAATGTTACAATGTATACATAATAATTATAATTAAATTCTTAAGTTTATTCGACTTTGTTCAGTCTTATCTTTAAGTTGAAAAAAAACAACAATTTATTCCAAAAGAACATGAGTAAGAAAATATGTGAGTTCTATAAACACTTTTTCCATACCGACCTTATAAATTTAAATATTTGAATTTATTTATACATGAAATAATTGAATTGCGTAGCAAACCAAAATAATTATTGTTTCAAATTAATAATTGAAACAAGAAAATTTCAAAAATTACATTTAAAGTCGTTTTGAAAAAATAAAGAATCCTGAAAGACTAATACTGTGAAATCACTAATTTTCGGGGGTTTAATTTTCGTTGTTTTGAGGCATGGAGAGATTCACGAATATTTTCCTCAATCTCGAAAATTTGACCCCTATGAAAATACAGTGTTTGTGATTTTACAGTAGAGAAGTAGATATGTGCAGATATATTTTGACTAAATAAATATATAAAACAATTTTCAAACACAAATGCTCTTCTCGTAGTCCTTTAAAATATATATATAATATATTGCACTGGATTTTCAATAGACTTGTTTCAATTATATAATACTCAGTAATCAATTTACATTGGTGGCAATGCAAACGTCTTTTTAAAATTCACATCTTTTGAAAATATTTCTCTCTCCAACGTTGGCTAAATAACTGCTTATTAACCATTTTCATACCAAAGCTAGAACTTTCACTTTTATAATATCAAAAAATGTTATATTTAAAATAAAAAAAAATGGCTATAAGAATATTTGTTGTCCCCTCGTTTTTCTCTGAAGCAACACATACTTACCATAAGCTCTATAAGTCCTACAGAGAGACAAAAGTGTCGATCAATTTTCACAAAATACACGTATCGCAAAGCATTGCTGCTTATAGACTAGGAGGCCTAAAGCCTTTGTTATCCTCTCGTTTTTCTCTGAAGAAACACGACTTACCATAAGTTCCATAAGCCCTACACAGAGAAAAAAGTGTCGATCAATTTTCACAAAATACACTAATCGCAAAGCATTGCTGCTAAAAGACTAGAAGGCCATAGCCTGATAGTCAACTTCAATATGCTTTTAACCGGAATCGTAATAAGTTCAGCACGGGCAGTCGCTATAACTAGCGCCAATGGAATTGAAAGTCATCAATTTTGCATGCCACAATCGAAACATTGCTTAAAACCTTTCAAGTTAAACTTTGCCGATTACTACAGACCGTTATCAACTCCTATATAACAAAGTCAGTATCCTAGGATAAGAATTAACCTAATGAAGAACGTGGGAGCGACAGATCCTGGACCCTAATAAGGGCTTAATTACAAAGTTTGATATTGAATTTATGGAAATTTCAAGTAATTCTACTCTATTTAAAATAATAATAACATATTTGATTTTATTACGAGGGTTGGCCAGCAAATCGTAAACAGGGTGTTTCATTTTTATCCCGAGTTTCCTAAGAATATACACCAGTATTATTTATGAAAAAAAATTTGAAAGAAAAAAATGAGGCAAAAAATATTTTATTTCAAGTCATTATCTGTCTAATAATATCGGCGTATGGTACATTTTATTTTAAAGTCATTGCTATCTATCTAATGATGTTGGCGTATGGTAAATTTCAAAGCATTTTCGAGCTGATTTTCAGTAGTCTCCCCAGTATTTGAAATGAGAAAGTGAATGTACTTCAGACACAGAAAATGACAACCTTTGATGATTTAACCGCGCAGCACAGAACAGTTTAGTTTTAAATAAATTTAGTAACAAGAAATGATGACCTTACAGATTTTGAGTAAAAGAAGATATTTATTATATATGTAAAATTGTAAATATATCATTTTCCGTATATTTTTTTTTATAAACAAGTAAAACAGGCTTACAAAATGATGACTTTAAACAAGACGGATGATATTCTTACCAGTATTTCATCAACTAATTTGTCAATAATTTACCTTGTTACAGAAATTGTACATACGTAGAGAATGCTCTTGCGTATCGAATCAACTGAAAGATATAAACTTCATATGCATGTGATGAAGGTCTATTGATACATAAGTAAGGGAAGTTGACGACTGAAACGTTAGTCATATCGTTTATCATAGAGTTTGGTTGTTAGATTACCATTAACGTCTTTTTCAAGTAAAATTTCCAAATATGAAACAGATGTGCATCTGTTAAAGTCATCATTTTGTAAGTTCTATGCTCGATACAATGACCTTGTCAACAAATTCAATTTATCATTAAATCAAATGTTGAATGACGTTTTTCATACTACTTGTTAGTCAATTATTTACACATTGAATTGACGACAGATTTTTCTGTTATTTCCTGATCATGACAAGAAGCATATGGCGGGTGTGACCGGTCGGCAGGGGATGCTCACTCCTCCGGATCCGTGGCACCTGATCCCACCTCTGATGTTTGTTCTGCTCCTGTTTTGTATTGTTTTATCTTTTGATCTTGAATACTGTTCGTTATCTCGAAATATTTCATTGCTTAATTGTTTTTGTAATTTATAATATTCTGTCTCCAATAATTAAATTGATGAACAAATTGATTTTTCTATGGTTTTATGTTAATATTGTGTATAAAAAAAAAAAAAAAAAAAAAACACCTCACACTTGATTTTTTTTTATCATTGTTGACCATCGCAAGCTGTAAGTGTTGTGTTCAGATAAGAATCCCTTTCCGTTAACTAAGTACACAGTAAACCGAAAAACATTTAGACCTCTTCCTGCTCTATACAGTTTATGTGATATTGTATAGTTCACCTGTTGAATGGCTTCTTTGACTGCCTTACTGTTTGTCCTTTTTATATACAATTTATAACAAAGAGAGAGGAAACATCTTCAATCAACTGCTGACTGAACTGCCCTACTAGCTTCCCATAATTTTTTTTTAAATAGAAAATTTGGTGTTATGACCCAGATTTTCTATTTTGATAAAAATTTGTGGGAAGACATTGCTCTTTGTGTTGGTAATTAAATGTTCTCTCTTATATTGAATACACAGGTCTATGTTTTTAACGGATATTAAGTTTCAACTTGACGATTTTTTCTTCATTTTTATAAATAAACAGACCAAATTATATATTAAAATCACGGAACTACTAGTAATTTTTTCATAGTATAAAATGTTTGTATAAAACAATAATATGGGTTTAAGTTAAAAGCAGGAGACCAACAAATGGCAATTTTTTGTAGATCAACCCTCTGAGATTATGGCATTTGTTAAGCACCAGTTTTGTTCACATTTTTTTCGTCATTGAAATTACTAGCAAGTAAATTTCTTACATTAAAATTATGAATTTACACAAAACTCTTGTGTTGCCTTGGACTTCCACAGGGGCTTGTCAGCAAATTTCTTACATTAAAATTATGAATTTACACAAAACTTTTAATATTCTTGTGTTGCCTTCTTTTCTCGGACTTCTAGAATGAGGTTTCTTTAACAATCAAATTTAGTGCACCAAAACGGAGGGAAAACAAACCATCGTAATGGCATTGAACAATAAAGCTGTGGTTTCATTGTACGTATTTTACTATATTCGGTAATATTTATTTATATAAACATGTTAAATATCCTTCACTAAGCATGTCAATCCTTACAATTTATATTTTGTGTACGAGTTATCTAAAGAAAGCAACCAATCAGAGCGCTGCTTTCAACTGACGCATATTTGTCAAATATCTTAGTGGGCTCTTAAAATTGAATCTATACTCCAGTCGGATCCAACGAATATTATCACGAAATCTTCAGCTCTATATACTACGGTTTTTCATAACATTTCTTGGCAAAATATATTGTTTTAGATAGATTGTATTTTAAACTTTGGAGTACACTTAATAAACTAAATGAGAAATGTGCTAATTTCTAGGTCGTGTTAATACAAACAGTGTCCATAAATTTTCAAAATGCTTATCCACTCTCGTTAAAGCTTCAAAGAGTATGATAAATCATGATGAATTTCACGCAATTGTGACATTGCAATTTCTGATGTTTCAGTGAAATTAATTTTTGAACAGATACTTGCAATCATCATAAAAAACAGAATTATTGAGTATCTGTCTCTTGTGTTTTGTTCACATCAGGGCAATCAGAAGCATATTAAGCTATCCATCACGTTTACCATTATTTCCATTAATTCTGTCAGTAAATTTAGCTGAGGGGAATCTATTTCAAAGCAAACAAGTTTTTTAAATATTCTGGTCGAATTGCTCACTAGAGTGAACTCAATCACGACATTCAGTAAATATTTGAGTCTAAACTACTCACCAAATGGTATCTGGTTACCACATAACGTTGTTCCATCAGCTGCAAGAATAAAAAGTCAACATTAATCCTTCACTGCATAATAAATACACTCCCTTGTTCCAGAATCAGATGATTTAAGGGATAATTGATAACGGAATGGAAAATTCAAATATTGTCATTATTTTTGGGATTGATTACAGAATGGAAAATAATCGATACTTGTCAAATTAAAACAAAGGACATGATAGCATCATTATGAAATTGTTCGTGTCTCCGATGATTTGTATGATCCTAGCTTATAGCCGAAATTTCCGAGTTGGATGATGAATATTCAAATGTCATGTTGATAAACAATCTATTAGAGTAACCATAAGCTGCATGGTTTAAAGATATGAAATGTTCAAACAAAGGTTAGGCCTCTTCTGTAATAGGTCTGCAACTAATTGATAAATACCAAATCACAACTGAATGAAGACCCCTACTGCAACATGCCTTTTATGAGTTTCTCAGGTTTAAAGTAGTTTAGATCCAACTAAAATAGAACTGTTCTAAAAATAATATTATAATTTGGTGAGGACTGTTCATTTTCTTGCTTCGTCGACTTGTTCGTCAAAAGCTTGCCTCGTTTTTGAAATTGTTTGTACATAAAGCAATCTCTTGATGATCGAATAAACCAGGAGACGTTAACTCCACATGCAGGTAAGAATCATAGAAGTTGCCGATGATAGAAATATTGGTCATCACAATTATCATAAATCTTGGATGATAGATTACTGTTGACGTTTTTTTCCACTTAAACAGAAATTGAGCTTAATCCGCGAGTAGGAAATGCCTTACATTTATTTTTAGTACACTTGGACATATTTCTGCGGAAAATTTGTGACCGCGTACATAGCGTAATACCACGTGGAAGAAAGGTACTTCTACAGTACCATTAACGTCTTTTTCAAGTAAAATATCAAGTATGAAACAGACATGTCAGACTTTGTGGTATCTTTTATTTAAAGCTCACTTTAAAATATATATCAAGTCGACACATGAACATGAACTACTAGTAATTGATAATACGTCGTCGATATAATATATATATATATATATATATATTAGTGTTGGCAACGAGTACCCGGTTAACCGGTTAACCGTCGAACGATGCGAGTATCGGTTAGTAAAACTGCTATTCGGTTACTCGGATAAAATGCATCTTATATGGTAAATAACTAAAAAATAAAATGTTAATTTGTTTATAAGCGTACAAATAAACATTTCTCTAATTTTCTTTACCGTTAGACTTAATGATCTATGGTTTCACTAATACGATTGATTGGTTTTCACACTTAACTGATAGCTTAATTGGATTGCCAGCAGGTTATACAAGTTTTGAAGACCCAAGTTATAATTACCTCATTAAATGATTTAAAAAGATGCCGCCAAAGACATGTATAACTTGGAAGTATTTTAAAAGAACAGCTGATTCTATACCTGTAAAATGTAATTAATGTGAATTGGAGTTATCGTGACTTCAAATTTCTTGATAATTATTCTCCTTGATCGTGACATATATCGGGGGTTGAAAAGTTAAACTGATGAACGCCATTGTAAAATAGCGTGAAACATTGCATATTTATTTTTCTTCTGATTTAATTAATTTTTTGATTATAATTATATTCAAAATTCAAGATATTGCGTGCATGTTCTTTATAAGTTTATAAATAAAGTTAATTCACAATACCTTTGTGTTTTATTAGAACCGATGAGTAAAAGATGAGATAAATGATACATATGAATAAATGATCCGAGTAACCGGGTACTCGATCGGAAGATTGAGCGAGTGACCGGTTACTAAAAATCGTCCGATTTGCCAACTCTAATATATATATATATATATATATATATATATATATATATATATATATATATATATATATATATATATATATATATATATATATATATATATATATATATATATATATATATATAATAGATATAAATGTTGAGTGGAAGACTACATCGGGTGTTTTCTTCTTCTCATGTACAAGTTTAAGAATGAATTCTGTTTCCTAAAAACACAAAAATAGCCTTTCTGTTTTCTCTAAGCAAAGATAAGGTTTTTATAAAAATTAAATGCAATAACTATGAATAGAAATAAAAACTTCGTCCGGTAATGAATCTTACCTGAGGCCTAGGAGACATGTATATCATTTTTTGATAAGAAAACCATTATTTATTATTTAAATGCCAATAACGACAGTTGAAGTCTAGAAGAGATACTTAAGTAAAGTAAAAAAGATAAAGAAAGTCACCAATTTTGTTCCTTTCTGGTCGTAGATGTTCACATTAATTTCTTATTATTAGAATTGGCTCCGGAGAAAAAGCTTAAAATATTTCAGTTTTAAGAGACGGCTGACGAACAACACACGACAATGAAAAAAGACAATGAATGTTCCGAAACTTCATAAAAATCCTTACAAACGAAGATACATTGCGGGTTCCAGTAAATGTTCAACCAAGTCTCTTTCTTTACTCCTCACTAAGATATTGACAGTAGTGAAAGAAAAACTTTCAGAGTACTGTGCAACCATATATTCAAGAAGTGATGTGAATCAGATGTGGATACTCAAAAATTCCAAAGAACTTTTGGACAATTTGAAATCACAAGAACTTACCAAAATCAACAGTTAAAAAACTTGCGACTTTTCAACTATATACACAACCATTCCCCACGATAAATTAAAGTCCAGGCTTTTTGATATCATTGACAGTTGCTTTTTCAATAAAAATGGAACTCGTAAATTTACTTACCTGGTCATAGGTCATTTGCAAAAATTATTTTGTTAAAACACATTCTGATTGCACACACAAGCCCTCTGAAGTTGACATCAAAGAGATGCTTGAGTTTCTGATTGACAATATCTATGTGGTTTTTGGAAACCAGGTATTCCAACAATCAATGGGAATTCTCATGGGTACCAATTGCGCTCCTTTATTAGCAGACCTATCTTTATATTCATATGAAGCAGAATTTGTGCAAAATCCTATGCGTGAAAAGGAGAAAACACTTGCTGTAGATTTCAACTCGACATTTAGATATATCGACGACGTATTGTCAATTAACAATGGTCATTTCCATTCCTACGTCGATACAATATATCCTGGAGAGCTTGAGATAAGAGATACCACAGAGTCTGAAACATCTGTTTCATACTTGGATATTTTACTTGAAAAAGACGTTAATGGTAATCTAGCAACCAAGCTCTATGAGAAATGTGATGACTGTAACTTATCTACTGTCAACTTCCCTTACTTATGCACCAATATACCTTCATCACCTGCATACGGAGTGTATATATATCTCAGTTGATTCGATACGCAAGAGCATGCTCTACGTATGAACAATTTCTAAAACGAGGTAAATTATTGACAAGCAAGTTAATTAAACAAGAATATCTACAGTCTCGTTTAAAGTCATCATTTCGTAAATTCTATGGTAGATACAATGACCTTATCAGCAAATACAATTTATCATTGAGACAAATGCTGACTGATAATTATACTTATTAGTCCATTATTTATACACTGAATTGACAAAGGATTTTTTCGTAATTTTCCGGATCAAGACAAGGACACACGGCGAGTGTGACTGGTCAGTAGGGGATGTTCATTCCTCCATGGCACCTGATCCCACTTCTGATGTCTCGGAGGTCCGTGCTTGCTCTGCTCCTATTTTGTATTGTTTTATGGACTTTGATTTTGAATACTGTTTGTAATCTCCATATCCTTCTTTCACACAATTCAATATGAAAAAAGTTTCCAATTTTGATTCATTAATATTCATTGTCTTGAGCATATTTAAGCAAGTCTTAATTGTCGAGAATTAATGCAAAACATCTTTTTTTAAGAAATTACCTTGTTTACAAAATAAAATGGTGTTAATCACGCCATCGATAGAAAGAAATTATATCCAGCCCTACATTTTATTGAGCAAATATGAAAAGAACGAACAGTAAGCATGTTCCAGAGTACACTGAAGCAATACAAATCAGGATCAGAGCAAACACTGGTCTCTAAAAACATCAGACCTGGGATTAGTTGCAATGTAGAAGTAAGAACCCCTTTTCAATAGGTTACTTCTGCCGTGTGATCCTTATCATAAACGGGTAGATGAAAAAATTCTTAGACAATTCAGTGTATAAATAATGGCAAACCTATTCGTATTAAAAAAAAAACATTAGTCAAATTTCGACTTGATGAAAGATTATATTTGCTGACAAGGTCATTATACCGACCATAGAACTTACAAAATGTTGACTTTAAAAGACTGTTAATATCCTTGTTTCATCACATTATTTGTCAGTAGCTTGATTTGTTTTAGATATTGTTCGTACGTAGAGCATGCTCTCTCGTGTCGAATCAGCTGCATGGGAGCTATGAACTCTATATACAGGTTATAATGGTTTTTTCTTTTGCTATATACATGTAAATGAGGGGAGCTGGCAATGGATAAGTTGAAGTCGTCACATTTATCATAATTTTTTTTGTAAGATTATAATTAACGCATTTTTTGGCAAATATCCAAATATGAAAGAGACGTATCAGACGGTGGTATATTTTATCTCATTTTCAAAGGAATATATCGAATCGACATATAGGAAAGAAAATGAATATTCTTTACAGATAGGGTAGGGTCGATATATCTAAAAACTGAAATGACGGTCACAGCAAGATACTTCTTTTCAAGTACATGTATATCAAAAACATTCAAATGACTCATTTAAATGGAAGTGGTGTCACCCAGAGTCAATTTATTTCAAAATTACACAGAGAATTTTTATGCATTAAAATACTGAGTTTCTAAGTGGCAAAAGTGATCTCTTTGTATATTTGAGAGAAAAACTATAATCTACGGAAGCCCATTAGTGCCAATCTGTATATATAAAGGAAAAGCAATATATATATAAGCAAACCTCTATATATAAAGGAAATGCAATGTATATAAACAGAACCTCGATATATATAAAGAGAAATACGATATATATAAACAAAAACTCGATATATATAAAGAGAAATGCAATATATATAAACAAAAACTCGATATATATAAAGAGAAATGCGATATATATAAACAAAAACTCGATATATATAAAGAAAAATGCGATATATATAAACAAAAACTTCGCTATATATAAAGAGAAATGCAATATATATAAACAAAAACTCGATATATATAAAGAGAAATGCGATATATATAAACAAAAACTCGATATATATAAAGAGAAATACGATATATATAAACAAAAACTCGATATATATAAAGAGAAATGCAATATATATAAACAAAAACTCGATATATATAAAGAGAAATGCGATATATATAAACAAAAACTCGATATATATAAAGAGAAATGCGATATATATAAACAAAAACTTCGCTATATATAAAGAGAAATGCAATATATATAAACAAAAACTCGATATATATAAAGAGAAATGCGATATATATAAACAAAAACTCGATATATATAAAGAGAAATGCGATATATATAAACAAAAACTCGATATATATAAAGAGAAATGCGATATATATGAACAAAAACTCGATATATATATAAAGAGAAATGCGATACATATAAAGGGAAAATTTTCCATCACGTGATCTCTATCCCACAGTTCTGTTTCAAAGAAAGTGACTCTCATCAGCCACTTGCCTCAAATCACTTGACTCGATGCTAATTTAGTGTTTCGGCGGTGTGATACGAGGTTTATGATTTATAATTTCTTACAGTTAATTACTTAGCTGCAAATCCGCCAACATCAGGAGCCTATTTGCAAATCTGTTATACAGATTATTCAGTTAGTGAGAAGGTGATCATATCACTCAAATTCTTATTGCTTTATATGACACAATAGGCAATTCAGAGAAAATCGCATAGCAGTCTTTATCTTTACAAAGAATGAGCCGGTATTTTATTAATTTCTGTTTTATTTTCCGGAGTCCTGGATTGTATTTAGTTACAAAAACCAGGAGATCTCTTGTTTTTTGGTATTATTTTTCACTGTGACACTTTGCCTAGAAATTTCATATGCGAATTTCAATAATGGGTGATGGGCATTGGCTATAGAGAAGCGTTCATGAATCTCATTTTCATTTCCCATAGCACATCCTATAATTTGTTTTAAATATAAATTTGAATTAAATTCAAATATATTATTTACTAGAATTAATGTGGTTAAATAACTCAAGTCCGCTGTGGGCGGGGCTTGGATTGAGAATACGCTTCTGTCAAATTCTCTATAAGCCGTTTCAACGGCTGCGATTAGCTTCTCGAATTGCATGTTTGTGTAAAGTGATGTTACATCATAACTGACCACATGCAGGCACTCGCTGTGTGGTCGCAGGCGTTCTATTCTCAAAATGAAGTCTGAACTATCCCTAATACATGTAAATGTGCTCAAAGTATGAACAATAGGTGTTAAAACATAGTCAGTATATTGACTTATTTTTTCTGTAGGTGCATTTTTTTTTTAGATATATAGGCCTCCCTTGTGGGATGATAGGCGTTTTGCAGCTTCCATTTTGTTTAATGGTATCAAAGATTTCAAAATCCAGTTTGTGTATTTGTGGGAGTAAATAATTTATATAATCTCCCTATTTTTGTGCTATCAGCTTTGTGTAGATAGTTATAAGTAATATCATCAAGCACACCTTTGGTTTTCATTTCAGAAACTATATCTCTCATCTATAAGTTCCTCAAGATGTTTTAAATTTGGATCTGTTATCCGGCAGTAATATAAGATATCTCTTTTATATATCGTCTGCACCACAAGATTGACAATTATTCATCTTGTAAGTTTGCGTTCAAACATGAATTGTGATGCCATGTATTAAGACAAGGAGCCTCTCAGTGGGATGCTGAGGGCATCACTGATGTAATAAAGGTCAGTAAAGGTCACGCCATGGAAAATTTTCTCTTTATATATAGCGAGTTTTTGTTTATATATATCGTATTTCACTTTATATATAGCGAGTTTTTGTTTATATATATATCGCATTTCCTTTATATATACCGAGGTTTTGTTTATATATATCGCATTTTCTTTATATATATATCGAGGTTCTGTTTATATATATTGTATTTCCTTTATATATATCGAGGTTCTGTTTATATATATCGCATTTCCTTTATATATATCGAGGTTCTGTTTATATATATTGTATTTCCTTTATATATATCGAGGTTCTGTTTATATATATCGCATTTTCTTTATATATATCGAGGTTCTGTTTATATATATTGTATTTTTTCTATATATAACGAGGTTCTGTTTATATATATCGCATTTCCTTTATATATATCGAGGTTCTGTTTATATATATTGTATTTCCTTTATATATATCGAGGTTCTGTTTATATATATCGCATTTCCTTTATATATATCGAGGTTCTGTTTATATATATTGTATTTCCTTTATATATATCGAGGTTCTGTTTATATATATCGCATTTCCTTTATATATATCGAGGTTCTGTTTATATATATTGTATTTCCTTTATATACATCGAGGTTCTGTTTATATATATTGTATTTCCTTTATATATATCGAGGTTCTGTTTATATATATTGTATTTCCTTTATATATATCGAGGTTCTGTTTATATATATCGCATTTCCTTTATATATAGAGGTTTGCTTATATATATTGCTTTTCCTTTATATATAGAGGTTGGCACTAATGAGCTTCCGTAATAATCTGATGATGTCTCATGGGAAAATATTATTCATAGGCCACAGTATGTCGCTAGAGGCAATTAATAAAAATGTGTCATTATCAAGATCCATGCTCTATGACTTCCTCTTCGTGTAGGAAAATATCAGTGTAATATGGTTGTGCTGTGAATTTGTTTCAAAAAATCTTAACAAGAAATTTCACGGTATTTATACAAAACACGTGGCTTTAGACGGTCGTCTGGGCTCTGTCAGCGAGTCTGTGAGTTATAATATAGAGCAACCTCATTAAAATGTTTCCATACAACTTTTCTACAATTGTAAAATGTTTTCAGGAATTTATTTTCTTGCAACATTGACCTTGACCTTGTTTATGTAAGCTTAAATTAAATGTATATTCTCTTTTGATTTCCTCCACTAATTTTCCCTTTCAGTGACCTCGACCTTGTGCAATGACCTTTGATCACTGCTATGGAACTTCTGAAAGTCACATATACATATACTGAGAATGAATGAATAAAGAAAACTTGGATTTTCTTCTATAGTATAGGAGTGACATTCATTTACATTCCGTCTGTATATTAATGGTATTATCAATATTCATTGATTACACGTCAGTTTTACCTAGGGAACTATTTTCCTCACCCAGAATGCATGAAAATAATTAAACTGGCAAAGGGCTAATTATGCTAATTGTTCCTGGTGGAATTTCAAATCGATTGCTTGCTACATGTAGGTGAACAATTTTTTTTCACAATTAGATATTTTTTGTCTCAATTTATGACAACCTGTCCTCACTCTATACCATGAACTCAAAGCCGGAAATATTTTTTGATAGAACTGATGACTTATGAAACATTTAAAATCATAGAATCACATTGCTTCTTGATCTGTTGGGGAAAAGGATATTCGTTTTCAATGTTACCAAATCCCGCTTTTTAATGTCAGGTTCCTCTACTCATGCCTTACAAATCTTACAATTATAGTACAGATCCGATTGCTCATATTAGCATGCAAAAAATGCTTCAACAATTGTGCAAGGGCTAAGACGATAATTTTACACAAAACTTCAAAGTAAATGAAATGCTTATAGACATATGTTAACACTCAACTAGCCATAATTATCTTCCTAAAAACTTATGCGGATTATAGAATCAGTACCAAAATATTTGAAGAAATCTCGAAAACTTGATAACAGAATTTGAAAAAAAAAATCATATTGATTAAAGTAAAACGCATTTTTTATAGAAAATGTAAAGGTACATTTTCTAGTCTATTTAAATAAAGCAAACATTTTCTCCCAAATTCAACCGAATCACCGATCTTGATGTGTATCGGTTCATTATTCGTATTCACTGAATTAAGTTAACAATTTTACAATACACATTCAATTTTCCTCACTATATCCACGGAAGCAACGTAGTTTATCCAATGACACGCCAAAATCACCATAATTAGTGCTATTTTAGCGCATCTCCTATAAAAATCAACCACTAAGCGCATCATAGATCAAGTAATTTAAAAATTATATTGTCATAATGTGATATTCTGCCCGGCACATACAATAGTTTGTTATTAAAGCCATTAATATAACTTTTATACGTACCGTATATTATTGATACAATCAAGATTCGTCAACCTGGCGTCACAAAACATTGCATTCTGTTTATTATTCACGGTGATGAAGCAATGCTAAAGTTGTTTTCAGTAAAACAGGAAATATGAGTAAACCTCTTTACATTCCTGAGTGAATTGAATTCTGTCTAGAGTGACCCAGTGTTTTCTCTTATAAACCCCTGTATACAGCTGTACTTGTAACTGAGACCAAACTTGTCAAGAATTACCGAACTCTGTTGGGAATATTTCATTGCTACTTGATGCTTATTGGACACATGCAGATGCTTACGAGTTCAAGACGAGTTCTGAGTTCTTCAATTTACGTGTTAGATCCTTTGATGATTTGAATGTGTCACTTAAACAACTTTTTAACTTCCTCCTTTGATAAAATTGCACCAAATTGCCTTTCTGTCTATAAAAAGTAATGGAACGATGGAACACGAATTTAAATTTAATTTTGTGTCACAGTCACGATTGCAAATTCCTGAAATTAGCACTATTTACTATAGAGTAACAATCTCGGGACATTTTCAATACGCGACAAATCAAGCTTATCCAATTGCAAATTAACCTTCATCAGTCATGGACAGTGGAATTTAATGTAAATATTGAGTATGTGAATGTGCATGCACAAACTCAATATTTGAATTAACTTCCAGTGCTGGTATCATCAGTAAAATGTATCTATATTGTCATTTAAAAATAAAAAAAAACTAAGCTCAGGCCCGCGGGCATTCCAAGTCACAAACTCATATGGTTTTTCGCACAAATTAACATTACATTGTTATTTTGCGAAATTGTGTATTGAGACAACAAAATATAGTTTAAAAGTGATTTCTAACTTAATTTTATGTTCATTTAACTAATTTAAAACATAATCCACGCATAATAATTGGTAGGATTTTGATATACTCTTGGCTGATGGATTGTGATAGTTCCCAAATGGTTTTTCGTGGTTTCCATTTGGTCCAAAGGCTAAATTGCATACTGCAAACACCATATAAAGAGGCCGTGGTATTTTTAAGGAATCACTGTCTAGTTAGTGTAGTATCCAGGGCATCAACGATAGTGATAAACATGAGATAATTTGCATAACGGGCGAAGCCCGTTATGAATAAATTATCCCATGTTTTCCACTATCGTTGATGTCCCTGGCATACTATACTAACTAGACAGTGATTTCTTATATTTCCATTTAATAGTGAAATAAAATTGTAGATTTAGCCTTTAAAAATGTAGACTAACAGATTTAAATTACACGATGACTTCCATGCCAATTTCAACAGTCCTCGGCCACCGACGCCAAACACAAAGGCAGCCGCACGAGATTTACATGCATATTTGGCCTCCTTAGCGTAAGCCATTCTAGACAGATGCGCACGAGATTTGCATGCGTATTAGGCCTCCTTAGCTCCTGACCGATCGACCTGCCTAATTTACATTAGAATTATACTCCCCTAACTTTCAAAGAGTTATCACAGAGAAAAAATTAGAAACGGAAATATAACTATTTGAAAACGCGGTTTGTTTGACAGATAACTTGTATTTCATATTGTTGACTGTAAAAGATGAATGTATAACGAACCACAGTAGTCAAAATCATAAATCCAGTATAAAAAGGGAAAGGTGAACAGGGGAAAACAAAATTACAGACCTCTGGGAACATCAGAGGTAAAATTAGATGCCTAGGAGGAGTAAGCATCCCCTGTTGACCGATCCAACCCTTAAGCCCCATGCATTGATCAGGTATGTAAGGGATAAATAACGAGATGGTGTTGAATAGTTTAGAGAAAACATTCTCTCCGAGGGCCGAAGGCCCAAGGAGGGGATGTTTTCTATAAACTATTCAACACTATCGAGTTATTTATCTTACTTTTAAAAATTCCCTACTTTGGACCCCAATGAAACATGTACCCATTCAAATATCCAACTTGTCTAATACAATAGGACGTAGCCCATTTAAATATCCAACTGTGACACAAAACAATAGCCTAATCGAACACCTCTCTTATTCATGGACTAGTGAGCATGAAACTACATGGTGCTGATTTCATTTTAACCCTTTTCATTGTACTGAACAGTCATGAAATCAGACAAAGAATATTTTTAAATCCAGTAAATTAGAGAGGTTCGGATAGTTTTTTTTTTGGATACTTTTGACCTGAAAGCTGAAGAAAACTACAGAATTTTGATAAAAGGTTGGGATTTTGTCATTGCATATCATAATATGATGGTTTGTTGAGAAAAAAGTGTTGGATTCTTTTGGAGTTCCATTTGGACAATACTTGTAGTAGTGCTTAAACAGCTAAAAAGATTGGCGGTGTTATGTTGAACCTGCTTGAAAAAATTCCACATCATGATCTGCAATAAAAATGGTGTCGAAAAATAGATGGACTGTCAAATATCTAAGTTGTTTAGGGAAATACTCCGGAAAAGAATGAAACAGAGATGAATCTCGGATAATCTGAAGGGGTTTACTGATAACGGACCCTGAAATAATATTCAGCAATAAGAAGTGATGTAGTTTAAGATTTAAGGTGAAAATGTATTCATGTGTCAAAAAGTGATGCTTTCAAATTTAATACCGAAAACATTTCTAAAAGTGTGCAAAAGTCGGAGGAATTGTTATTTCTGTGAGCATTTGAAGCGCATTTGAAACAGGATTAATGTGATAAATGTGAAGTAATTACGGTAATTCCGTGTACACTGGAAATTAATTCTAATAGTGTGGCACATTTGGAATAATAATTATTTTTCATATGCATTGGAAATACATTTTAAAGTTCTTTTATCTCTTTTGTTCATTGTTTTATGTTTTCTGCACCTCAGTTGGGTATTTAAATATCCAACTAGTGCTGGTTGAGTCGGTGGAATTACGTAGACTAATAACAATAGGTGACGTCATAGAAGTTTTTTTAAACGGAGGATTCCGTAGTCAAATTTAGTATAAACGCACTAACCAACAGCAAATGGGTGAAATGCAATGAAATAAGATCTTATATGTTGATAGATATCAAGAATATGAAAATGGGTCGGCTATAAAATTATCACAATTATTCCAGCAGATAAATGTTGGAAGACCTGGTCCCAAGAGACTAAATCTAGATATTGTTTATGAGGAGCTCCAGCATCTTTTTATTGAACTTGGACATGCATGAATTACTGATAACCAGTCACAAGATCTGAAAATTAACGACTTACCATTTTTATTGTGGAAGCAGCTGTCTGTAATAGTTGTCTTTATTTCTCTGTTCATTCATTCATTCTTTATTTCCTCCATATGCGTAATTATGGATTTAAATGAAATATAAATAGCAAATACAATTAAATATAAATATAACAAACATATCTAAACAGACATAAACATACAAAAATTAATACAGAAAAACACATTTACAAATCTTGTAAAGGAATGTTCAAAGGGGAAGGGAAAAGAGAGAGGGAAAACAAAGGAAAAACGGTATTGATGACCTATGTACGGCACGCCAAATTCACAAAAATGAGCTAAACATAGTTTCACAGTCAATAAACTAGGTTTTTCGGTTGTAAACTATAGTTTACGGACTGTAAACTATAGTTAACAACGTTAATCTATATTTTACATCTGTAAACCATAGTTAACGCGATAATCTATGTTTCACAACCGTAAGCTATACTTAACACCGAAAACAACTATTTGAGATTGCAAAACATAGATTATCTGGTAAATACAGTTTCACGATTTGTAAACTATAGTTTACAAACCGTTAACTATAGTTAACGATCTGATAAATATAGTTTCACGATTTGTGAAACTATGATTAACACTCTTAACTATAGTTTACGATTGTAAACTATAGTTGTCAAACGTGAATCTATGTTTATCAACAAAATCTATTGTTAACGCTTATTACAGACTGATAAACTTAGATTATCATTCGTAAACTGTAGTTAACAACCGTTAAATATAGTTTTACAGATGAAAACTATACTTAACGAATCGTTAACTATACTTAACGAATCGTTAACTATAGTTTACGGATTGTAAACTATAGTTTACAGTCGATAAACCTAGTTTATCAAATGTGAAACTAGGTTTATCTCATTTTTGTGAATTTGGCGTGCCATACCTATGGGAGTTGGGTGGGCCTAAACAAGGGGTTAAAATTTTATATGGGATTTATACATGTAGTAAATAAGTATATTTCTATAAAAAGAATTTTAACAATAAGAACTATTTTTAATTACCAAAATACTATGCAAAAACATGTTCTGAAACACCTGCATGTTTTAGATTTTGATATTTTACTAGTAATAGACATTAGTGGCAACCTAACAAATTAAAAAAAAGTGATGACTTCAACTTTTCTATATGGTATTTTTAGCTCACTTGAGCCCAAGGCTCAAGTGAGCTTTTCTGATCAAAATTTGTCCGTCGTCTGTCGTCGTTGTCGTCGTTGTAAACTTTTCTTATTTCCATCTTCTTCTCAAGAACCACTGGGCCAATTTCAACCAAACTTGCTACAAAGTATTCTTGGGTAAAGGGGATTCAAGTTTGTTCAAATGAAGGGCCACGCCCTTTTCCAAGGGGAGATAATCATGAATTAGAGAAAAATTAATGGCATTTTTAAAAATCTTCTTCTCAAGAACCACTGGGCCAGGAAAGATGAAACTCAGTAAACTTTCAGTTCTGATCTGAAATGTGCTTTTTCCTAGCCAATTGTTCAGGTGAGCGATGTGGCCCCTGGGCCTCTTGTTCTTATTTGTGAAGCATTATACATGCACTATTATGCTCTGCATATTGAAATTATGTCTATGTTGATTGGATAAGCAGGAGTATATGTTCTGTAATAAATTAAAGGACACTAATAGTCACGTTTAAAGTCAATAATTCACTTTTATGGTCGATAGAATCAGCCACGTAGCATCGTTTTTGAAAGGGGGCAGCCAGAGAAAAATTTTTTTGACTAACCTGAAAAAGTTGCCAAGCAAAAAAAAAAAAAAAAAAAAAAAAAAAAAAAAGGAAAAAAAATAAATTGCCCAAACACGCAAAACAAATTTGGAAATGGGGGTGGGGGGGGGGGGGGGGTAGCGGCCAACTTTTTTTGTCAACTTCTTTCAGCACCAATTTTTTAGCATTCAATACTACATTTTACTGATATCAATTTCCTGTAATATACAGTGCGGGCCAACCAACTTTTCAATTAATTTCGTGCCTGAGAATGACTTTAAAATTAGTAAAACTAATCAATAGTTAAGTCGAATAAATTCAATATTACCTGAAGTTTTTCACTCAAATTATTTGGACCCTTACGGAATTTTTACGGATCGTAATAAAGCACATTGCAGGTATGATGATGCTCACTTCTATGTGGCACCCGATCCCACCTCTAATGTTTAAAAGGTCGGTCCATATTTTCTTTGCTCCCTTTGTATTGTTCCAATGTATTTTTGTGCTTGATTACTTTTTGAACATTATCTTCATATTGAAATTAATGATCATGAAGAAAAAGAAAAAGGAGTTTGAGCAGTTCCTTTCATGCTCGCATTATAAACAGCGTTCTGCGAGAGACATTTCCTAAAATTTTTACATATATATTACTTGTATTCTGATTTCCACCTAGAAATAAAACCACAGGCACTTGTTTCGGAAATAAATTTTTAACCCATAGCCTAGTATTAAAAAACTTCTATGACGTCACCCATTGTTATTAGTCAATTTAGTCTACGTATATTTTACCGACTCAACCAGCACTAGTTGGATATTTAAAGATCCAAGTGGCCACCAGTTGGATATCTTGAATATCCAACTGGCCATCAGTTGGATATTCAAAATATCCAACTGCCTAACTGTTGGATATTTAAATACACAACTGAGGTGCAGAAAACATAAAACAATGAACAAAAAGATAAAAGAACTTTTAAAAAATGTATTTCCAATGCATATGAAAAATAATTATTATTCCAAATGTGCTACACTATTAGAATTAATTTCCAGTGTACACGGAATTACCGTAATTACTTCACATTTATCACGTTAATCCTGTTTCAAATGCGCTCCAAATGCTCACAGAAATAACAATTCCTCCGACTTTTGCACACTTTTAGAAATGTTTTCGGTATTAAATTTGAAAGCATCACTTTTTGACACATGAATACATTTTCACCTTAAATCTTAAACTACATCACTTCTTATTGCTGAATATTATTTCAGGGTCCGTTATCAGTAAACCCCTTCAGATTATCCGAGATTCATCTCTGTTTCATTCTTTTCCGGAGTATTTCCCTAAACAACTTAGATATTTGACAGTCCATCTATTTTTCGACACCATTTTTATTGCAGATCATGATGTGGAATTTTTTCAAGCAGGTTCAACATAACACCGCCAATCTTTTTAGCTGTTTAAGCACTACTACAAGTATTGTCCAAATGGAACTCCAAAAGAATCCAACACTTTTTTCTCAACAAACCATCATTTTATGATATGCAATGACAAAATTCCAACCTTTTATCAAAATTCTGTAGTTTTCTTCAGCTTTCAGGTCAAAAGTATCCAAAAAACTATCCGAACCTCTCTAATTTACTGGATTTAAAAATATTCTTTGTCTGATTTCATGACTGTTCAGTACAATGAAAAGGGTTAAAATGAAATCAGCACCATGTAGTTTCATGCTCACTAGTTCATGAATAAGAGAGTTGTTCGGTTAGGCTATTGTTTCGTGTCAGTTGGATATTTAAATGGGCTACGTCCTATTGTATTAGAGCAAGTTGGATATTTGAATGGGTACATGTTTCACTGGGGTCCAAAGTAGGGAATTTTTCGATAGTGTTGAATAGTTTATAGAAAACATCCCCTCCTCGGGCCTTCGGCCCTCGGAGAGAATGTTTTCTCTAAACTATTCAACACCATCTCGTTATTTATCCTTTACTTGTAAGTACACTATTATACTATGAGTTAAAAATTTATTTCCGTAAAACATAGAGGTTTTTATCAATACTAGTCCAAAAAATCTGACGTTTTTCTGGCTTTTTTACGATTTTGATATTTTCCTGGCATGTAAAATATCAAAATCGTTAAAAAAGCCAGGAAAACGTCAGATTTTTTCGGACTATATCATAATATCAATACATGTGTAAATCAAAAGGAAGAGCGATAACTCTATTTGTTTCGTAGGAACTCACGATGAATATATGTAACACGAAATTGCGAATATGAAAGTGAGTACTTTCCAATTAGTATTATATTAGTGAAATAAAAATACATAGCACATTGGTTCAAAATGTATTCCGCAATCGCATATCGGAAATTGTTGACCGTGTTTGGTTTTAGCATTTGTAGAGAAGGCGGCAGTTACTTTCACTTTCAAATTGAAAATGTGCAAGTGACATGAGTATAAATAACATAAATAACAGCATTTTGTTCCCGAATATTGATATGTACATGAAGTTGCAATGTCAGGAGACGTTTTACCTCAATGCAGCACTTACTGTGAGGCTACCACGCTACAGGACTGATAGCTGTGTGCCAGGTGAGGTAGGCCTACCTTCCATTCTAAGTACTTGTTTCTTACAAGGTACTGTTACTTCTTCTTACCAAGAATAAGTAGGGGATGCCCTGTAAACAAAAAAAGTGCCTATAAACTGGGTCGTGTACTTAAGTACCCAAATGGGTAAAATCCGCAAAAATATTTAGATGACATTGTTGGATTGACCACAGGGACTTGCTCCTGGCGTGTAAAAATATTTATTAAAAAAAAAACGATATACTATAAAACTACTGTGTAGTTTTATAGTACATGTAGTATATCGTTTTTTTTAATAAATATTTTTTACACGCCAGGAGCAAGTCTCTGTGGATTGACTTGTGAGAAACATGATAAACAAGGTACACATGGTACATGTACATTTATTAATAATGCGCTCTCAAGTTAGAGCATAATGAATCTTATTCTAACAAGGAAATCTACAGGTGCACATATTAAAACTTAAAATAAAATATAATTTTTAAGACATGTACTTATTTTTTTAACATATTCATAAAGACATTATTATTTCAGGTAGAATATAAAGTAGTCTAGTGACTGTGTGCATCTTGCCATGCAGGGAGAAAATGTAAACCATTCATAAATTCTCATGACATGGTGACATCTGCATGAAGGTGGTAGTGCAGTTATAGAAAAAAAAAAACAGAGTAATGAAGTCTACCTCCTCCTTAGATGATGAATGCTCCTCAGGAACAGAATCCTCAGATTACTTTATACATTCTAAATTTGATAAAAGATTTCCTACAAAAGCCTCAGGCTGGAAAGTGAACCACCTCTTAGATCTGGGTATTTATTATGATGAAACATCCATGGAGCTTCAGACATTTATGACTATGTTAAAAGAGGGTCTTCCTAAACCCAAATCAACTTGTAGTGACAGAGAAGTTCCTGAAATAAAGAAAAAGATGATACAGCTAACAAAAGACTGGTGGAAATTTTCATTTGATTTCGAGAGTGCGGAGAAGTCATTAGTAGGGAGTGGAGTTAGAGAATCTCTGCAGAAAACCAAGGAAGCTGTAGAGATTTTTGAAGAAGAAAACCACAACATAGTTGAAAGCTTAACAACAACAGAGCAAGAAGATTGGAAAAGGTAACAGTACTGTTTAGTATGAAACCTACCCCAGACTTTTTAATGGGTTAAATTAATTTACAGTTACAGACTATCTAATAATGCTGATACTCAGCAGAAAGATTTGGTTGTCAGAAATGTGTCAAAATGATGCTTTTTATTTATTTCTAGGTGAACATGTTTATGCTTTGTTTATCTTCATGGTGATAAAAGTTCAAACCCTGACCTTCTTTCAGTGTGCAAAATTGATATAATGAAAAGAATGTTTTGAAAATAATTATGTATTTAATACATTTAACGCTGACATTTGAATTATATCTCATTCAGTGTGGCGAGCCTTGTGGTCCATTAGCCTCTTGTTTGTCTTTTCCTTACAGTCTACAAGTGTATTCAGTCTGGAGGATGAATGTTTTAGATTTCTGGAGATATTTTTTCACTCTTCTTACAAGATGGGGCAAAACATATCAGAGAAAAGAAAGATTTACCTCCCTTTTCATGGCTTTCTCCAAAATCTGCTTTCTATATCCTGAGTAAGTACATGTACAAATGTTGTTTTACAGTTTTACTTGTGAAGAAATATTTGAAAACCTGTAAGAATGCATGCTCATACTTTGTAAAGTTTTGTTTCAGACAATCATTTATGACCGATTAGCAAGGGGGTGTCCACACTGTGGCTCGAACCTACAACCCCCAGATTTAAAATACAAAGCTCTACCGACTGAGCTAAGGGGTTAACCCACTAGCTAGTGCCAGTAGGAGCATGGCCTCACTATTTACAACACAAAGCCACTTTTTCAACTCTGTTACACATTCAAGTCCATTATTTTACATTATGTTATACATTTAGCTTTTAATTTTTATTTTTAATTGAAATTTTTTTAGGCCAGGAAAGACGTACTGTGATATGATACAAATCAGGGACACCATGGTCCAGGGTATACCAGATATCCGCTTCCTGACTTTGACTTCATCTCCTTCAGCAAAGAAAAATTTAGAACTCCTATTAGTCACAGAGGTAAGACAAGATTTCCATTACAATTGTGAATTGTGACTGATGTTTGATTGCTTTTTGATACTCAATCTCAGGAGATAATTGGCAAGATTATATAATTTAGTCTTGCTTCTGTCAAGCTGTGGTGTAAGGCTAAGTTCTGGTCAGTACATGTATATCTCCACAATATCTCATTGAAAAAAAATGGTAACCAATTTTTAAACGAGGAGTAATTTAGTTAGTTAGAGTTAATAATTGTACATATATGGCATACAAAATACATTAACACATGCAAGCTATAGATATTTTTTTTTTACTATATGATAATTTCTAACAAAAATCGTAAAAATGTCAAATGCTGATTGGAGTTATTCCTCTTTTTATGTGATCTGATACTTCATAGCTCACAGACGGCTGCATTTATAAGGAAGTTCATGATCTAGAAATAACTATAGCAAAATTTGTTTAGTAGGAACACAGATTTTGCGAATTCATGGATACAGCGGATTTTTTTGGATCCCCAGCTACTGTGAAATCACTAATTTTTCGTGGGGGTTAATTTTTGTTGTTTTTGGGGTATGGAGATACCCACCTTAAAATGTATAATGCATTACTACTTCATATTTTCCAACCACGAAATCAAATCCCCAGACAGCAATATTTTTTCCTCAAATTTCGAAAAATTTGACCCCTCAAAAAATATGTGATTTTACAGTATATGAATTTAGCAAATTCCTTATATGGATATTCGAATTACAGATATACAAAGTAATTTCATAGGTCCCAGTGACTTTGTTATAACCGAGTTTTACTGTACATTAAGCTTACAACAATTTGATCAACAAAATAAACAATTATACATGTACAATGCATTTAGTATGCAGTCTCTGAAGTTTTAGTGATGAAAATATGTAAATTTCTCTTTTAATTTTAGCATCCAATTGTACTATTCTTGGATTTTCAGCTGTATATATATAAAAACAAAGTTGGTGCATGATGCCTCCCTGATCTTTCAGGCCTATAAACCCTATTCTCTTTTAAATGAACAGTCAATGCACTTGATCGAGTTATTTGAATTTGATATTTATAGGTTCAACAGTATGATGCATTTACAGGGGACTTATCTAAATCAGATACCTTTACGGTTGAACATATATCCAAGGCAGTATTAGGTCAACATGGAATTGAACTTTTAATGGAAAGAGAAAGCTCGTTTTTCTTCCCGGCAGGTGTAGTGGGACTTCTGTGTATAGGAACAAAGGTAAGTCTTATGAGGAATGAATTTATAATCTTTTGTCCTCATCCTGGGGCATTCAGCATCAGCTTTATCCTTTCAAGTTTCATTCCAATTGGACATCGTTTGTTTACATGATTCAAACCTTCCGTTTTTGAAGGGAGTTACTTTCCAATGTCACTATGAGAAAGGGAAGACATTTGCCTGATAACAAAACAAAAATGAATTTCAGAGAAAAGTTACTTTTATTTTTGGAATAATTTTACAAAAATATTTATATGTTATTTAGGATGAACTTCTTTCTAAGTGGTGGCAATATGTTAAACATATTTTCTAGGAAAAGGGAAAGGATTTATAACAGATGAATTAAAAAAAACTTTCAAGTAAAAAGATGCAAAAAGGTTTTGTTCCTACAGAACTACAATGTACACTCAGTATACTTAGTCATGAATAAATTAAACAAAAAATTAATAAGTAGCGTGATAGGTTTTTAATTTTTTCTAAAGTTTGTTTTAAATTTTTTTTTACAAATACTTTATTATTTTGTTTTGTAGGTTATTTTCACGTTCCTTCAGATAAGTCAAGGTCATTACCAGATGATCAGGGAAAAGGGAACTGTTGACAAGACAAACAAGGCTACTATATCCTACACAAGACCCTATGATTACATGGAAGCTAATGACCGAGCAGAAATCTTGGAAGTTCTCTTCTGGTTTGGTTACATACAGTCTAGTCCTGATCAGTTCTGCTAGAAATGGGCGTATTTAATATACTTTTATATTGTGTGTATATATAATGATGACAGCTTATTTGTGTAAATATGATATTTTCTTGAATTTTTCATAATTTCATACAGTCAGACACGTCACAGTACAGTATATGTTTTGCTAAATAAATGAGAGAATAATTATCTGTTTGTACATAATGTTACTTTCACATGCATACACATGAGGTTATTTAATTGACCTGCCTGATGTACCAGTATTGTGTTCAAATAACTTACTAGAATTTGATCAAATTTTATGACAAAATTGGGTTTTATTTACTATATTTACCATGTAGTTTGTCTCCAGTGACTTTTAAGAAAATGATAAATGATATCTAATATTTGAAGTAATTTTGGTATCTGACAATTTTTTTTAACAAAAAAAAGAAAAAAAGAATATCAATATGATTTTAAACAAACTAAGTATAGATTAGGATCAAAATATAGTGTTGGTTATGAACATACATGTACTAGTGGGTGATTTTTATACGCCCGTCTTAAGACGGGACGTATTATGTTATAGGCTTCATGTCCGTCCGTCCGTCTGTCCATCTGTCCATTCGTGTCCGGCTCATAACTTGAATACTATTAGACCTAGGATTATCAAACTTTGACAGTTGATACTTCTTGGGTAGACGGTGTGTCGCGCACAAATAGTAGGTCGCTCTGACCTTTAATAAAGATGCTATGGCCAAATATGGAAAAATCCTGTCCGGCTCATAACTAGAAAACTATTAGACCTAGTGCTTTCAAACTTGGCAAAATTATACATCTTAGGTAGAAGGTGTGTCGCAGCCTATTTCAAGGTCACTGTGACCTTTAATTTAAGTGAATTTTTTTTAAAAACTAACTCTTTAAAATTTTAAATTTCATAATCCTAAAAAATGTAAAAATATAGTTGTATCCTTATTTAAAAATGTTAAATCAAGTAAAAACTTATTTTTTCATCATATACTTTACAGCAATCTGTAACAAATGTTAATGTTTTGAGAGGAATTCAGTTTGTCCAATGGGCATAATTATAAAGCACTGGTCAAGTAGAATTTTGATAGCAGAAATTTGCATGTCAAATTTGGGAGAAATTAATGAGTTTATTGTCAGGAGCTAAGTGGTAGAGCAGATCTCTGATAATGCAGCTGTTATCTTTATCTTTAATCTCTTGAGAGTTGGGCAGAAAGAAATGGCCTCATAGTTGCTTGTGTTAATTAAGAGTTCTTGATGGCTAGTTCAGAAAAAGATCTTTCAATTGGTGTAATGTAATTAAAACAAATTGATGCTTTAAAATACAGTGTATGATAAAAACTAAATTAATATTGTATAATATAATTAAAACTAATCCTTATTTAAAAATGTTAAATTAAGTAAAAACTTATTTTCTCATCATATACTTTAACAGCAATCTGTAACAAATGTTAATGTTTTGAGAGGAATTCAATTTGTCCCATGGGCATAATTGTCAAGCACTGGTCAAGTAGAATTTTGATAGCAGAAATTCACATGTCAAATTAGAGAGAAATTAATGAGTTTATTGTCAGGGGCTAACTGGTAGTCTAAGAGCATATCTGATCATGCAGCTATTATTTTAATCTATCTCTTGGGAGTTGGGCAAAAAGAAATGGCCTCATAGTTGCTTGTGTTGATGGCTATAGTCCAGATAAAGATCTTTCAATTGGTGCAATGTAATTAAAACAAATTGATGTTTTAGTGTATGATTAAAACTAAATTAGTATTGTATAATATAATTAAAATTAATTACACATGTGTTCATTGAAAAAAAAAAGTTACATTTCAATTTTTATATATTTGCAACAAATTGCAGTCATGTCTCACTTAGAATTTTATAGTCTAAAGAATAATTTATTTTTGATTTATTTATTAGACTGTAGCATTTCCATTATTCCATAAAATATGCAATAAACAATTTAAAGCTGCAGATGGATATTTGTTAAGTTCTAACACAGCCAGTTTAGAATTATATGATGTATTATTTGTTATAATTAATCCCTACACTGTAAGTCTCTTAGAGATGTATGTACAATATTTTAAACATGATAAGAAATGGAAATTAGATCATTGAAATCTGTGTCAATCTGTTAATCAAGGTTATCTGATTTTCTTGCACCTTAATCAATTTATGATTATTGAACAATATATTTGACGGGCGTATCATGCTGTGGCGGGGTACTTTATTTCTCTTTAGAGTATAATTGTTATAAGGGAAGAAGTGTTTTAGATTTTAGCTTGAAATCTTGATATCAGATCTGAAAATTTATTTCTAAACCTTAGCCTGTTGAAGAGAAGAAGTTTTCATACTTTTATTATACTTTAAACCAAATGAACCATCAGTGCATAAATATTTGCTCTCTCTTGCTTTCTCTCTCTCTCTCTCTCTCTCTCTCTCTCTCTCTCTCTCTCTCATTACTACACCTAAACTGGTAGCATATGGTACTACATGTAATTTCTTGAAATGACTTATTAAGTTTCAAGCTTAACTATTTTATAATAAAAAGAACCAAAAGTGTCTATATATTTCATGTATTTTTTAAACATACATGTACTTGCACAGTATCTTCTAAGTTTGTTAACATGTCAAGATTAATGGCATATTCCTGAGTTCTCTAAAATGTTCTGTGTCAAGATTTTTGCGCATCCACAATATTAAAAAAAATCTTGTGATTCCGGTATGCATTAGCCATATGTTTCACATTGATGCACTTGTACTTGATTGCAAATACTCAGCTCAAGGGAATGTCTTAAGTTTATTCGTTTTAAAGTTGGAATAAGCCACCTTCATGTTTCATCCAGAGATCGAGAAACTACAAGACTGCGCCTTTTCTGAGCGTGCACGTGTTTTGTTTTCATTTTCTTGCGAAAGAGAAACTACGTACCCATATCTGATTTTACTTTGGAAACCCACCTGTGTTTATCGTTTAATAAACAATATAATCTTCAGAATTCCGACAGTAACGAGTAAAGCTTGCATTACACTGGATAACATATATACAAAACACAATGACAGGCGAAAAACGATGCTGATTTTTGTTTTCTTCAAGTATGCTTTCCACTTTGGTAAAACGTTATCTAGAGCGACTGCAGATGTGCTGAGTTTCGACTTCGGAGTAGTAAACTGCTTAAATACTGAATGAAGAATGGTAATTACATTGTACATGTAATTTCTTTCTGTCCTCTCGAAAATATTTCATTTTATCAAATAAAATCACTATTAGTCATGTTGCAGATTTTATATGATAAAATGAAATAGATATGTTTGAGATGATATCTCTCTTTTCTAGAATTAGCCCATTATTGGGTTCGTTACTGGCTAGTGAGTATATCTACAGATATTGACCAGGTTTATCAATCTCGTGACGGCGAGGGAGAAGACACAAAAATTTAAGTAGCGAGAAATAAATATTGATAAAAAAAAAAGCTCGGCCAATGGATAAAATCTTTCTCTTTTCTGAGACTTTTTTAATTGCAACAATATGCCACACTTTCCACCCTACTGCAACAAAAAGTGTTGGGGGGGGGGGGGGGGGGGTGTTAGGTTGGTGCACGGCATTTGAATTATGTACATGTAGAATCTTCAGCAAACAAAAAGAATAATATTGAAAACATTTGAAGTTACCAATACAAAACATATTTTTGAACGTTCGGCGGACTGGTCAGAGCATTTGCTCAAAATCGCGAAGCATAAAATTGTTTCTCAATCTAATTAAAATCAGATCCTCGATCCTCTCCTTTGATTTTAAATTGTTGCTACACGAGGTGCAGCGACAATAAAAAACAAAGGAGCGGACAGAGGATCTAATTTTAATCAGATTGAATTGTTTCTTAAGTTCGAATACCACTGTTTGATATGGAGACCGCTTATTCGGATAAAACCGCGTATATAATCTGAAGTCCCGTGTTGCAGTTGGTGCTGTGTAGCAACCGCTTATGATATAACGCTGCTTAACGATAAACGTGTCATTAAAAGTTGCAATTTTAATGCTTAAGAAAGGATATGGAGATAACGAACAGTATTCAGTCTCAGAGTCCACAAAACAATACAAAATAAGAGCAGAGAAAACACGGACCCCCGAAACATCAGAGGTGGGATCAGGTGCCATGGAGGAGTGAGCATCCCCTGCCGACCGGTCACACCCGCCGTGTGCTCCTTGTCATGATCAGGAAATAACGGAAAAAATCCATCGTCAATTCAGTGTGTAAATAATGGACTAACAATTGGTACGAAAAACGTCAGTCAGCATTTGACTCAGTGTTAAATTGTATTTGCTGACAAGGTCATGTATCGACCACAGAACTTACGAAATGATGACTTTAAACGAGACTGCTGATATTCTTTTTTCGTCAACTTGCTGTCAATAATTTACCTCGTTTTAGAAATTGTTCATACGTAGAGCATGCTCTTGCGTATCGAATCAACTGAGATAGATTTACTCCGTATGCAGGTGATGAAGGTATATTGCTTCATAAGTAAGGGAAGTTGACGATAGAAAAGTTAAAGTCATCACGTTTATCATATAGCTTGGTTGTTAGATTACCATTAGTGTCTTTTTCAAGTAAAATAACCAAGTATGAAACAGAAGTGTCAGACTCTGTTGTATCTTTTATCTCAAGCTCAACAGGATATATCGTATCGACGTAGGAATGTATATTACCATTATTAATTGGCAGTACGTCGTCGATATATCTAATTGTCGAGTTGAAGGCCACAGCAAGTGTTTTCTTCTTTTCACGCATAAGATTTTGCATAAATTCTGCTTCATATGAATATAAAAATAAGTCTGCTAATAACGGAGCGCAATTTGTACCCATGGGAATTCCAATAGATTGTTGGAATACCTGGTCTCCAAAAACCACATAGATATTGTCAATTGTTCATAAATCTTTTGCTTACTCATATTTATGTTTCTTTAACTCTTATGGATTTCCAGAGAAAATCTGAATGTTAGGTATTAACAATTATAGCATGGCTTGTAGGACAAAATTGGACCAAAAAAAAGACACTTCAACTTGACAAATTTATAAAGGGGTAATAGAAATTTTTGTCATTAAGAGTTATCTCTCTTATCAGAGTATTGATATACCTTAATGCCATCCTCCACAAACAAGAGGCCTTAAAGGATGAGTACAAACCTGAAGAAGCTCTGCATCGACAAGTTGTTGCTTCTCAGTAAGAGTGAAAAATTCCCGAAGGGACTTTTAAAAAACAAACAACAACATATTTTATTTCTGTCTTTGCACCATCGACCATGAGTCGATGACTTAATGATGCGATAGTGTACTAGGTGACCCTATCGTGATTTTACACCATACTTATAATCAACACGGTTAGCATTACGAAATGTAAAGTGTTTAGATCGCCTTATCGTTTTTAGAAGAGACTTGTATTAGTGCATCATGCAGATCCAAAATACAAGGACTTGCTGTACTGTACTCAAACAACTAACTTCATTTG